AAAGGGAGGGCAGAGGTACCCGAGGCCTGGGTGACAAGGACAGAAAAGAAGAGCATTATATTGACATTCTGTCTGAGAATCAGCCTTAGTGAGGGAAAGGAATACCAGGCAGCAGTGATATGGTAAACAACACACGTATGGCAGTGTTGAGGGTCACTGAGGGTAAGCAGGTATACCCAGTGGGATGAGATAAAGAGTCCTGCACAGGGGCAGACTGTTTGAGCTCAGGGGTTTGAGACCAGCCTGAGCAAGAGCAAGACCCCGTCTCTACTAAAAAAATAGAAATTAGCTGGACGACTAAAAATACATTAAAAAAAAAAATTGGCCGGGCGCGGTGGCTCACGCCTGTAATCCTAGCTCTCTGGGAGGCCGAGGCGGGTGGATTGTTTGACCTCAGGAGTTCGAAACCGGCCTGAGCAAGAGCGAGACCTTGTCTCTACTAAAAATAGAAAGAAATTAATCAGACAACTAAAAATATATAGAAAAAATTAGCCGGGCATGGTGGCTCATGCCTGTGGTCTCAGCTACTCGGGAGGCTGAGGCAGAAGGACTGCTTGAGCCCAGGAGTTTGAGGTTGCTGTGAGCGAGGCTGATGCCACGGCACTCTAGCCAGGGCAACAGAGCCAGACTCTGTCTCAAAAAAAAAAATTAGCCAGGCATGGTGGCGCATGCCTGTAGTCCCAGCTACTCAGGAGGCTGAGGCAGTAGGATTGTTTGAGCCCAGGAGTTTGAGGTTGCTGTGATGCCATGGCACTGTAGCCCGAGCAACAGAGTGAAACTCTGTCTCAAAAAAAAATTTAAAAAAAAAGTCCTGCACAAGGTTCTCCGGGAAATAACATAACAGAGTACTTTTGTTCTATGTCCTACATTAAGAACTCTACACAGATTATTTCATTTAATCCTTACAATCCTGTGAGTTAGTTGCTATTATTATCTATGCACATAAGGTAATAAAGGCTTAGAGATGGTAAATAAAGATGATCAAATGGGCAATTTAAGGCAAGATTTAAACCAGGCAGCCAGACTCAGAGACCCTGATGGTAACCCCCACTTCATACTGCATTTGCTGGCAGCAAGGGAAAGATGGAGGGAGTCTGGTCTGAGGAAAGGGTGTCCTGAGGCCCTGACCTGAGGCTCTACAGTCACTCTCCAGCTCCAGTCCCCTCCGTGCTGACCCCCAGGCCTCTTGACGAACTCAGTGGTGAGCCTTAAGGCCCCATCCTGGATGTGTTGCCGCCCGAAGGAAAGACCGTCATGGAACTCCCAGCCATAGGGACCCACGCCGTCCCCCTGCTCACAGGTGTGCCTGAGCTTAGGGGTCCCTGGGGTGGTGCCCTGCTGCGCCCACATCAGTCCTGGGGGTAGAATGGCCATGTAAGTCAAAGAGAGCAGGGGACCTGCCCCTCTGAGTCTCCGAGAACTTCAGGGTCATCCCTCTTCCTAATTCTCCTGATTCACTCCTGCCCACCCTTGTTCTGGCTTAAAGCTGGGGCGCCCAGATTAAAAGTCCGCCTGCCCGCCCCCGGGCCCAGTTACCGGTGAGAAGGGGCTTCGAGCTGCGAGTCTTCATGCCGAAGTAGACGTGAGGGCGGTAGGTTCCCCAGAAGAGGTCTGGGGCCACGGCGGGGCTGGAGGAGTCGGGGGGCAGCGCAGGGGGTGCAGAGTGCAGCGTGACCGCCCGCCGCGCACGGTGCCACGCCAGTATCCAGCGCCCAGACAGACCCAGAGCCAAAGACAGGACCACAACGGCCAGAGCCACTCCCCCCGTCGCGCCACGGTCCCCACCGCCCCGGCCATCCCGTCGCCCGGGGCCGCCCCGAGCCGCCCTCTGGGCTGTCCGCGCTCCATCTGTCGGCGCCGCGCGGCGCCACCGCTCGCCCCGAGCCATCCTGGCACAAAGGTCGGCGTCGCGGGAGGGAGCTCCGAGAGGCGGCAGTGAAACCCAGGTCCTGCCTCGCCTCTCCGGGTCGTGCCGCTCACCCCGTCAACGTCTATCCTTGCAGCAGCACCTGCCGGCCCGCGCTTCCCTCTCCACATCCGCCTCCTGCCGGAAGTCCCGCCCCGCCACGTCAGGTTGAGTCCCTCAGCTCGGAACCGCAGTCGCCGGTGTGGCGTAGGGCTCGTCATCCGGGTCGGCCCCGGTGGCTAGGTTCACCCGGTCTGCGCATATCTGGCGCGCTCATGGAGTTCCCAGGCTAGTAGATAAAACCAATCTCGCGTTGGGCTGTTTTTCTTTTTTAAATAAAAAAAAAAATTGGCCGGGCGCGGTGGCTCACGCCTGTAATCCTAGCACTCTGGGAGGCCGAGGCGGGCGGATTGTTTGAGCTCAGGAGTTGGAGACC